TTCAAAAATTATATATGATTGCACATTGTATTAAGGAAGTATGCCAGACTAAAAGCTAGCACAATGTTCTGTGATATTCCTTATCAAGTAAAGCCCAAATTTACTCAACTTCATAGAGCAAGAGTAAGACAAAGTTCTCCTCTTTTGTGTGTGTACTTTGAATAGAAATGAATGTAATCAGTTTGGCCTTTTCCACCCACCTCTCAATGTCAACTTCCTTAAATTGAATAGTCTCGTAATTGTAGAATTTTTTTATCTGCTTACATTTTTCAGTACAGCAACAAAAGTCCCTAACCTTCCTGGGAGAGAAAGGGACTATAGCTGTTTTCAAAGCCCGGATATCGCTCTCCAATAGCATTTTTAGAGTTCATTTTGAATAACACATTAATTTCCTCTTAGAAAAGCAAACAAATAGGAAAAAAACAAATAGGGAAAAAAAACTTCCCATCCTGTGGCTGGGAAGTGATGATTGTGAAATTTGTCTTTATTCATCTAATCCTCTGCCCATAAGGCTATTTAAGTGACGGTTCTTTTCAAAGAAGAGCTTTCTTCTGTGTGCTAAGTGTCACATTGCTTTTAAGGCCAAGCAGCTCATGTTTTCAGAAAAGCTCTCTTGTCCGTTGGTTATTATCATCCTCCTTTTAATCATTGTTAATATTGAGGTTTAGTAAATTGATTGGCGTAACCGGTTTTACCCTACTTTCTTTGTAATGTTTCCCTTTCATCCACTCTTCTCTTGAGAACTTTCCCTGCATGATGTTGGTACTGTTCCAGGGGGAGTCCATACGGTTACAGCAGTCCAGCTTTCTTGGAGCAGAAGGTTTTTTTACAGTCAGTGACCTTTACCCCTTGCACAAAGGTAGGAATACCAGACTACCCAGCTGACATAACCATGTAATGTGGTGGAAAGTGGAGACCCTCCCCATGGAAATACATCACACTACATTTGAAGCTGAGCAGCTGGTTCTCACTGAAACACTTGTTCCTCTGGAGGGCTGGCAGACCTGAGCCCAAGAGCTTGGCTGTAGCTGGTGGGAGAGATGATGAGAGACTGCAACACTCAAGGAAGCCATTCCCTTGCACGTGGATTCTTAGTATGTTGGTGTGTTTTACTAATATACAGTAGCAAAGAAAGTGGAGGAAGATGCCAGTAGAAAGAAAGGCAAAGGAGAGGAAATCTCAGCTGCTAAGAGAAACTGCTTTCGGTAAAATTGTTGAAAATAGTATACTTAATTGTTAACAGTGATATTTTTATCCTTAAATCTTGATATCCATACATACTGAAGTCATCATTTACCCAAAGTGTAACAGCAAGTAAAGCTTGTTGTGATAAGTAGCAGTCCTTTTAAACAATTGAGTTCACTACTGGTGTAAGTGATGTATCTCCATTGACTTTGACATGGAGATAGCCACTCATGATGATAAATTTGTCCTTTCCTATTTAAAAGTTCATTAACAAAATGATAAATGGTATGGGTGACTTTAATTTTGTATTTGAAAAGTGAGACACTGGTAATAATGATTTTCCCAGAGTTGACACCAATTGAGTCTAGACTTGAAATCACATTCCCAGACATACTCTTGTCAAGCCTAAGGCCTGGATTTAAAGACAAAGTAAGGGTGAAAATGTGCAAGCTACATGAGGATGCCAGAGTGCAGTTTCAGTTTTACTGAACTCTTGACCAAAGGGAGAGAACATGAAATATGTGAGAGCACCGATAGGAAGAATATTTCTGTCTAAGGGAAAGATCAGTGACCACTAGTGGAATAAGGAGTTATGACACAGTTGTAATTAAAAGCTGAAGAAAGAGTAAACAGTCATAAAATTCAAGTTTCTATTTAGTCTGGGCAAGTTTGAATGCCAAAAGAGGGAAATTAAAGACATTGGATGTCAGAGAAGCAGAATGAAATAAAACTGAGGGCAAATAGTTTAAAACATTTTATGACAACACATCACTAACCTGTGGAAACCCTTTTGGAAAATACAGTGATTAGAAACTTAGTAAAAACAGCAACAGTAAACATTTATATTAACATGTCCAGTTCAAAGCTTAGGAAATAAAAATTTAGCTGGAAAGCTTTAGGTTTTCAGTCATGAACCATCTGTCACTGACAGGACATTTCCTTTAAGGACTGATTATTACAATATTTATTACTTTATTAGTCATTATTACAAGCTCTGATTTGGCTTGTTGAAACTGAAGAGTTGGACTTTATGCTGTCAGTTTAGTCTGGTTAGGCAATTCCCACATTGCACTATGTTGACACAGAAAACAGAATCTTCAAAAAACAATTTCTCTCTGGACTGCAGGCCCAGGATATGTAAACTCCACAACCTTTGCTTCTTTAATTGTTCAGCTTGGACAGGTACCAAAAGATTTCTGGAACTTTTTGTTGTCTGCCAGTAAAGGAATTATAGGTGTAACCCTACAAAGCATGTTGTGGTTGCTTGGTATCTCGTTAGCCTGTTCAGCTTGGAAGGAATCATTGGAACAAAACCATACCATCCTCTGTAGAGGAATGGGGAAATTACAGATTTTTGTTTGCTACCATGCCAACAAGGCTCGTCCGTGACGTTTGACATTGACCGGCATAGAGCTTCTGGTGTACTTTTGGGAACACCAGCAGTAGTAGCTATAACCCTTAAACTCCCAAGTATTTCTGCATGAATGAGTGCAAACTCTTGACCTCAGAAGTGAAGTGGTTTCAGAGAAGTTGTGTGGCTACATTATTATGCCACTTAACTCCAGCTGCTATTTGCAGTGAAATTTTTGCGGGGTAACGTGGCTGCATGGTTTCTGGGCTAGAAGTAGATCACTTCCGGCATTTTAGGGGAGCAGACAGTGCAAACATGACACTGTACTGCTCATGTGGATCTGTCCCGAGTGTTCACAACTGTTCATGGCTTGGACATAAACAGAAATTTATGTACAACCCCCTTGAAAATATCCTCTTGTGTGTAACAGCCACTGTTAGCCATACAGCTTTTTCAGGAAGTCAGTGAAGCCAGATAAATCTATAGAACCTTGAATGCAGTGTGGACTGAGGAAATTAGCCTCTTCATCGACCTGAGTGGTTATTTGTTGGTTTGAAATTTATTTTTCTCTCTTTGCCAGAGAGCTGTCTAGTGATATAGGACCAGGGGGAATTTTAGGCTAAAATAAGAATCCAAGATCTCTTTGAAAGTCAAATGTAATATTAACATCATACAGCTGTGGATAATTCTTTAAAATGGTTAAAATCTTTTCTTGAGGCAAAGCATATTTAATTATTGCTCCCAGAGCCCTCAAGAAGCAGTATGCAAGGAGAATACCAATACTTGTGATTTGCCAGAAAAAAACTGTTCTTGCAGAGTATCAGACAAAATCCTCAAATAGATACAATTCAATATCTTGTTTTGTAGGGGAGATGATATTGGGGTGGTCACATGTAAAAAGAGTACAGAGAAAGCCTGCCAGGTGCAGCTATTTAATTTGGCCCTTTATAACAGAACATGAGGACACTCAAAGATAAGAAGAAGCTGTTTTAAAATTGAATTGCAGTAGCATTTAAACACGATGAATCATCTAGAGAAGGTTTGTTATAGTTTCCAATTAATCTTGTCCTTTAGTAATAAAAAAGAGAACCCTTGAAGCTAAAAGACAGCAATTGTTAAATCAGGAAGGTAAGAAAGTAGATTACCTAAACAACATTTAATCAATTCGCAGCAATCTCATGTCTACAGGCTATTACTGAAGCAAGTACCTTAGTAATTCTTTAGAAAGATGTCAGGGTGAGAATAGTGAAAGTACTTAAATTAATTGAGATTATGGGAAAAATCTAATTTTGTTAAAAACAAACTGTATTACACAGTCATTTGTGCTGCAAAAGTAGGTTAAGTTTTCTTCTCAGATATCAGCAATAAATACTATTGGAAGCAGGATGCTGGACCAAGTAAGAGATGTGATGATAACTTCTTCTGAACTTTCCCGAGCATTGTTTTTAACTGGGTTTGCTCCAAAGTTTGTTTATGGTTCTGAGGTTGAATCAGGCTCTTTATAGGCTCTAACTTGCTTCAGTTCTGCTGAAGGAGATCTTCCCAACATCTGAAACGATCTGCTTGGACCAAAAAGTCCAGCTCTAATAGCAATTACTGCTGAGTTCCTCATGCTTACACTTCAGGTGTGCATGTTGGCTGTAATTGATTTGTTCTTAATACTTAGAATACTTAGTTTAGAACAAATTGGTGAGTAATGTCTGTGCTATCCCTTTGCATCTCTTTCTAATCCAATCTAAGACTCTGCTCATAGCAGAAAGGTCAGTACACAGTCATATTAACAGAGAACATTTATAGCTCATTTTGGTTTGGTTTGTTGGTTTCGTTTTGGTTTTGTTTTTTTTTTTTTAAGTGAGGTTCAGGTATTGATGATTACACTAAAATGTGCTTAGTGATTTGCATAGGTTCAGGCTGCTGTTTGGCAGACCAAATTAACACATGACCTCTTCACATCTATAACCTTTATCAGCAGAAAGTACCTACTCCTCGATCTTAATCTTCAGAGAATTAGGGATGATGATGATTCAGTAAATAAATCCTATCATGCCATTGGGTAAACTGAATATCTTCTTGTGCTTGGAATAGTTATTAAGGTAGATCTGTCTGTACTTCCATTAATTATTTATAGTAAAAGTAAAATGTGTCCAGAACTGTAGTTTGTGAAAGGTTACTGCCAGCCTGATTTCATGTTTAGGCCATTTGTTTTATCTGTGTGTCAGGATCTGCATACACTACTGTTGGCTGCAGTTCACCCTAGAGTTATTTTACCAACTCCAGAATTCAATCACATACAAAGTCACTTCATGAAAGTCACAAGACCTTCATACCTCAATCTGAAATAGGAAAGAAGAAACATTAGAGAAGACAAAACATTGGGTAGAGCTGCCCGAATGGTTTGAATTAAAATAAATAGGCATGCTGCCTGTGACTGACCACTAACAATAATTTCATTTGATTCACCTAGAAAAAAGAAGAATGGAGAAGAACAGCCAAAGCTCTCTCTCAGTAATCAGTACCGAATTGTTACACCCACATTCCAGTATAATATGGACTACAAGAAAGTTGGCAAATGTATTATTATAAACAACAAAAATTTTGAAGACAAAACAGGTAATGTTCTTCCTTTGATGATACCCATCACAGACTTTTTGGAATTTTTATACTTTCATTAATCAATAAGCATTTTTAGGACACGGAATTTTAATGAATATATTTGTCTTTTTTGAGGTATAGTTGTTCCTACAATTTATTCCTGTTCTTTAACACTTACATTAGAGCAGCCCTTTGCAGCTTCTTTGCAGTGTAGGTTTCAAAGAGCATGTCACCTTGCTCTACCAACTTCAAACTAAACCGTTGTCCCAGAGTTTAAGGCTGTGTTGTTAAAATTTGAACTCTGGCATCTACAGCCCATGTTGTAACTTCTCTGTCCCTGAGCTACAGCTATGAGCTAGAAAAGCTCGTACCTATGGCTGTGCTCTGTTCATACTCCTGCATTTAACTTTTCAGACCAGGTGTGGTTTCAAAGCAGACAGATACTTGTGTTATAGTCAGCTTCATAGGTCTTTTCCTATACAGTTGGCAAACACTAAATGAAGCGTTTACTCCAAAGAATTTGCATCTTTCTTTTATGTGAGTATCATAGGGACTCTATTCAGCGTTTTTTTGTTGGGGTGCTTTATGCATATATTACACTGCATAGCCAAAAGGAGATAGAATCATCCATAGAAGCCCTATGTTGCAAGGTGCTGGAGGCACGCCAGCATTTTTCAGGGTAAGATAGGTGTCCACATTGAACCTTGTGTTATTTTGCATTAAAACTAATCTCACAATTTGTTCTCAATGCTGAGAATGCTGTTAGAGGATTGTTTTAAAATCATGTTACCATGACATTGTTTAGGTTTATGGATTATAAACCTAAAAATTTACCTTTGAACACGTGAATTGTGTAATGTGCAATCAACCACATTCTTTGTTTTCTGGCAGGAATGGGTACACGCAATGGCACTGACAAAGATGCTGGAGATCTAGCTAAGAGCTTTAGAAGCTTAGGTTTTGATGTTTACACATACAATGACCGAAGCCGTGGTGATATGGAAAAATTACTGAAGCAAGGTAAGAATTTAGGAGTGTGAAATGATTTAGAGTGGAAAAGACCTCTGGAAGTAACCGAATCTACCCCCTGCTCAAAGCAGGTCAAATTAGAACAGATTGCTTAGACCCCACTGCATGCAATTTCCAATACAGAGGATTCAGTTTCTGAATGGATTAGGCTTAATTCACCACCTTTTCCACCAATGTCAATTCAGAAATACAGTTTTCTTGTCATATTAGGTGAAGCACCCGTCCTGTGTATTCAGTGAAGAGCCTTATCATATTAGATAGAGTCCAGCCTGTTGACTCCAGTGGGCTAGACTCTGAGTCAAGTGAAGGATGCATTCATGTATTCAAGGTACTCATCACATTACTAAAAAGTGGCTTGTGTCATCTTTATCCACTCCTTTTTATGCCTTCCAATAGAGCCCCATGTGTATTTAGTCTTGGAAGAATGTGTTTGCTAAATATAATTGTCATTTAAAATGTTGCTTCCTTTTAGCTAATAAGTATTTGATTTGTAGCTGCCGAGGAGAATCACAGCGATGCCGCTTGTTTTGCCTGTATCCTTCTAAGCCATGGGGAAGAAGGTCTCATCTATGGCACTGATGGACCCATGGCTATCAAGAGTTTGACTGCGCTGTTCAGAGGAGACAAGTGTAAAAGCCTTATAGGCAAACCCAAATTATTTTTCATTCAGGTAATAGCCCTAAGGTAAATATAATATCCTACTGCTGCAGTGGGGAAAACATGCTGTGTTGGTTATCTGCTCTACAAGAGCCCTGTCGGTTACTTACTGAATTTTGCTGAACGTTTTGTGGAAAAATGTGTTGAGAGAAGGTGGCTATAGGTGACTTTATATTGTTTGTTTTTAAAAGATAATTTATATACAAGATTTGTGGATGTAAAGAGCATACTGTCATTGTCATTTTGTACATGGTGTCTCTTTGTGCTTGGTAATACATGAACTTCAAAGCAGAACGATAAATTCCCTCTTGTGCAGACAGAGCTGAGGACAGTACGTGATTATCAATAGAAATAATACTGTCCAGGTCTCTTTGAGTAAGGGCTGTCTACAAATTACTGCATTCTGCTAAAGTAAATATTTTTTACTCGCCCTCAGTAGCCTAAAAATTTATATTGCATTATTGTATTAGCATAGAATTAATAGTATGTTACTTAAGCTTTTAAAGGCAGCAGATTCAAACAGTATTAACTGACATACTGTGGGACTGAATTCTCTTTTATCATAGTGTCAGGTACATATGAGAGTTGCAGCTGATGTGGCTCTCCTTAGGCTGTTCCATCAATTAACCCTCCACCTCAGAGTGAAAACTGTGTTTATTTTAGACTCTTCATACTACTAAAGTGATATTTCTTTTAATTATAAGTTTGGAATGGGTACTTTGTTGCCTTTAAAATTATCTTAATAAAGGCAACCTACTTGTGTTATATAAGCCCATCAGACTGCTGGTTTTTTGCAAGAGCTGTCAGTTAAAGGTAGTGATCAAGAGCTGAAACTTACCAATCTGGACTGTGGTCCCAGTGTGCCCTTTACCTAAACCACATGATTAAGAGGAAATTAAGAATAAAAGAGAGAAATGGAAAAATGTTAAAAATGCAATATGCTTGAAATGGGTGGTCAAACACTGGAACAGGTTGCCCAGATTGTAGAGTTTCTATCTGTGGAGACATTCCAAACCCAACTGGACATGGTCCTGGACATCTACTGTAGCTGTTCCTGCTTGAGAAGGGGGTTGGTCAAGCTGATCTTGGATGTGATTTTGTTATTCTTTGAAAGGTACAGTTATAGCAGTGCACATCAGGGACCAAATACAATGTGTAGTCCACTGTAAAGTAAATGTCCCAAAGTCACACTGCACAAGAGAATACGTGATAATTGAGTGTTGAGGATTACTCTAAACTAGTAAAATTAATCATGGTTAGAACAAGCTAATGCTGACTTGGCACTTCGACAGTCCACTGAGATCCACAGCCTGCAACACCATTACCTCTCTTTACTGTATGGGATGAATATTTTAAAATGGGTAAGCTAGTAACTTTATGACTGGACAATTAGATGTCCCCCAGAATTGCATTTCTGCTTCTAATACATGCAAAGTACTGTTTAAAACTGTGTTGATTAAAAAGTGTTAATGAATACTTATTTTTAGAACACCTTGCTTCTCCTTATTGGACAAGTTCTGTTTGTCTTCACTGCTTTCAGGCATGCAGAGGCTCTGAATTTGATGAAGGTATACAAACTGACTCTGGACCTGCAAATGACACTCTGGAAACAGATGCCAATCCAAGATACAAAATCCCAGTAGAAGCAGATTTTCTGTTTGCATATTCCACTGTGCCAGGTAAAGAAATTGGGGTTAGGTTGGGAATAGAAGCCTAAAAACTTGTTACCCATATTGGCTTGATCGTAGACTGACCCTCACTGATGATACATAGAATCACAGAATCATAGAATCGTTTGGTTGGAAAAGACCTTTGAGATCATCGAGTCCAACCGTACCTGTCCACTACTAAACCATATCTCTGAGCACCCCATCTACCTGTCTTTTAAATACCTTCAGGGATGGTGACTCAACCACTTACCTACGTAGCCCATTCCAGTGCCTGAGAACACTTTTATTGAAGAATTTTTTTGTGATATCCAATCTGAACCTCCACTGGCACAACTTGAGCCCATTTCCTCTTGTCCTCTCACTTGTTACTTGGGAGAAGAGACAAACACCCACCTGGCTACACCCTCCTTTCAGGTAGTTGTAGAGAGGGATAAGGTCTCCTCTCAGCCTCCTCTTTTCTAGGCTAAACAACCCCAGTTCCCTCAGTTGCTCCTCATAAGGCTTGTTCTCCAGCCCCTTCCCCAGCTTTGTTGCCCTTCTCTGGACACGCTCCAGGACCTCCATGTCCTTCTTGTAATGAGGGGCCCAAAACTGGACACAGTATTCAAGGTGCCCCCTCACCAAAGCTGAGTACAGGGGAAGGATGGCTTCCCTGGTCCTGCTGGCCACGCTGTTTCTGATAGAAGCCAGGATGCCATTGGCCCTTTTGGCCAGCTGTGCACACTGCTGGCTCATATTCAGCTGGCTATCGACCAACACCCCCAGGTCCTTTTCTGCCAGGCAGCTTTCCAAACACATCTCCCCAAGCCTGTAGCTTGGGGTTTTTGTGACCTAAGTGCAGGACCCAGCACTTGGCCTTGTGGAACCTCAT